CAGAACAACCTCAAGCCACCAGACCCTTCTGTTTTGTGTAGGTTGTTTTGACAACATTCTCGTTTCACCAGGTTTGCCACAAGGGGTAGGGTTGCTCAGAGCCTTGCACAGCTGATCAAAACCCAAGGTGTTCTTTGGGCTTCGAGTTCCGTGCAAGGTCCAACCAAGATCTCCTGCGTGGGATGTTTGCCACGGTCCAACGATTTCACAAATATGATTTGAACCGTGCCCAAACCCCAAGGGCGGAAAATCGGTTTGGAGTTTCCCTTTGGTTTGCTTTCCGCTGGTTTCCCTTCAAAAGCAATTTTTACCCTTACTTCCACAAACCCGTGGGAGGGGGACCCCCGGTCAGATGCCATGTTGGAAGGAGGCGACCCCCAACTTCCATCAAACGCTACCTGTCAGAAGGGGCACCCGGATCAAACAATTTTTTTGGCCTCCTGGAAAAAACCTCCTGGATTCACGTCCGGAGGGCTACCCCCGATGTGGCGACTGAAGCCCTCCGACTCCGCAGCGAGGTCCCACGTCTTCTGCGAGGTTTGGGAGGCCACAGGCGTCGGGACAGGAGAGAGCGCGAGCGAGGGTCAACGCCGGGGGGCGAAGCCTGGGCGAAGTCAAAGGGAAAGACAGGGGCCGCGTTTCCTTTCTTGTTTTTTGTTTTTTTGCTGGGTTGTTCAGGGACAACCATGAGGAACCACCATATGTTGTTTGTGGTTCTTGTTTTTTAGGGGTGGGGGGTGGGGTTGGTGTGTGTGTGTGTGTGTGCGCGTTTTTTTTTTTGGGGGGGGTCCACTAAACGAAGACCCCCGTATGGGTCTGTCACAAGGGGAGCCCCTTTTTGGATGGTGAAGGGAACCCAAAACCATCTGCCTGGAAGGGTTTGTTTTGAGAAACACCTCGGGTTTGACGGAAGCAAATCAATTGCTGTTCTCTGGGTATCTAGGCCCGGGTTTGTGCTACCTCGCGTGGGCTTGAGACCCTATGAAGTCTCCTCTCAGGCCCAAAATAGTTCAGGTCGGTGAGTTAGTCAAATCACTTCTCCCTAATAATAAACGCGGCACCCCCCAATTATTGATAGGGTCCAGTTATTAAAAGGGGAACGGATTATTTTTGTGCAGCGTTGGGTTTCTATTTGAGGTCGAACCTGACCGTGTGAACCCATCTATCTGGTTGTGGGGCCCGACTTTTGCCCTACATCCGCTCCAGTCACCAAGGTCGTATGGTGTGCCTGCCCCCAAACTCAGAGTCCTTGGTCTGTTCGAAGCGGATATTGGCAACCCTGTTGCGGCCAAATCCGGAAATTTGGCCCTCCATGATGGGAACGCCTCCTCTTGCTTTACGAGAACGCCCCAATCCGTGTAAGACACACCTGGCCGCTTGCAGGGAGCAAATGAGCATGACATGGGAAGGCCATTCATGTGAGGAATCAGACCAACCCTTCACACGAACGCCCAACATGACATGTGCGCTGCACAAGTTGTGGTTTAATCTCGAGCCACGAGAAAGGTCACCCCTAGGGGATTTCCCATAGAGGGATCCGGATCACTGAAAAGAGCGGAGCCCCCGGTGAAAGTAGATGGCACATGTCCCTCATGTTGATTTAGTCATACAGTTTACTTACTCACAAGCGGGAATTGCGCCATCCCCGGTTCAGTCCGCCCGCGTGATCACCTGGTTCCAGACATGCCCATATGGATTTGGGAGGGTGCTTTCAAGAAACCCACCCGCAAATCTTCACCCAGCACTACTTTTCTCCAATGTTGCTGAACAGACCTTATTTATGTTTGATGTCTCTGCCGCCCTCCCCCAAACTGGCAATTCCCCCCAAAACCGGCCCCAAGCAGCTCGCAGACCTTGCAGGCAACGGCCAGCCGGGGAAGAAGCGCTGGCCTCAGCACGCGATACGGAACTGGAGGTTCACTTGCACAGGGGACCTTTTTAAAATGAACCATCTCCTCTCTCTCTCTCTCTCCCTCCCTCTCTCGCTCTCTCCCTCCCTCCCTCCCTCCCTCCCTCTCTCTCTCTCTGTCTCTCTCTCTCTCTCTCTGTCTCTCTCTCTCTCTCTCTCTCTTTCTCTCTCTCACGCCCTCCCTCCCTTCCTTCCTCCCTCCCTCCCTCCCTCCCTCCCTCCCTCCCTCCCTTCCTCGCTCAGTGGCACTCCGAAGGGAAACTCGATGGCCCGGGTTTTCGAACGCCGCTGCCAGGGTTTGGTTTCGGTTCCGGAGGGGCATGTGGAAAAGGCCCCCTGTCATGATTGCTGAAGCGAGGGGAAGTGCCGCAAGTTGGAGCCCCCTTTCGCTTGATCCCCATTTAGAAGTTGAAACCACAATTCTAGATGTTCCTCTATGTTAATTAATTCAGGATTCAGGATGCTAGGCAAACTCTCAGGTTGTAAACCTGTGCTGACCGCACTGTGACATAACGTGGTTACGCATGTTGCGCTCAGGGATTCCATCACAACCCACAAAGGTGCTGCTCCACTCGCCGTTCGGACTGTCGCGCCGTTTTTCGGGTGAGGCCGGACAGAGGACCCTGGAGATTGGTGGCTGGGCTCCTGGAGAGCGGCCCCAGTTTCAGGATGTTCACTTGGACACCCCACAAGTTCTCCCATGTTGGTTGAGCATGAGCCTACGGTAGGCTTTTAGTCGTATTAGACTTGTGATTGGTATCGGTTATTCTATAGGCATACAGGAGTTTGCGGTTATGGAGTGGGTAAATTTGATGGCAAGACCATGAAGACAGGCGAGCGAGTGCGAGGCGGGGATTTGCATGTTTGTCCATGCTTTGCAGGATTGTACCTAGAGTCTCCATGACCCCTAGAAAAAGGAGTCACAACCCCTTAATTTTGGGTAATGACCCTATTTTAAGCAGGGCTCCTAAAAAGATTCATTTTGCCCTTTCGAAACATGTTTTTTTCCACCAATATATATATATATATATATATGGGGAAACCACCATTGACAAGGCAACGTTCAGGTGTATAATGCATCAGGAGTTGGGTAATGACCCTATTTCTAAAAGGGTCAGAAGGAGGCTCTAGGTAGCAACGGCCAACGTGTTGGGGACATTCCCTCCTCGGTGTGGCGGCTGGATCATGAGACGGGGAGAGTGACACCGATGCCGGAGAAGGAGGGTGCTGGCGGCCCGCAACCACTGGGCCTAGCGTGCTAAAACGCTTTTCTTCTCACGCACATGGGTGTAATGTTTGGCGCATTTTGCCAAGGGATGTAATGGGTTTTCCATTAAACCACTAAAAGTTAGACTTTTAGCAGGGGAGCAGAAAGCAACCGAGTAATTTTTACCCTCCCACCAATTAGCATGGCACCTGACCGGGGGTCCCTGAAAAGCAACACGGTCTTCCAGCACCCCTTGTCAGGTTCCACGTTAACTGGCGAGCGAGTAAGTGTCTTTTAAGTTGGTAAGTTTGGAGAAACATGAGCCGCTGTTTTTGGGGGGCATGTACCTCATCAAGCCATATTCGGCAAGACGTTGTTGTACTATTTGTACACCTGGTTATGTTTAGTTATGTTTAGACATCTTTGGACGCGATTGAGTTGTTTGATAGTGTTCTTCCGCAGCACTTGTAGGTATCCATTGTTTCACGTGGTGCCTGTAGTGATTCTGATGGCAGGTCTTCTCATCTCACAGGGTGTCAAAGCCCTTTGCTTGATGCCCCTTGGTGGTTTGGGGATGTGCACCTGTGGTTCTTGAGCGTAAATTGGACGCCTCCCCCCCGAACCTCTACCAATCCAAACCAGCAATTAGAGGGAGGCTGATCATTCACGTGTTGCAAGACTGAATTTGTTCCGCATTCGCGACTGAACCTAATATGTCAATATCGTCATTTGCATTCTATGCTTCCAGTGACATCTGTCAACAGATGCCAAAGTTCCCGCCATGTATCAGATTATTCAAGTTATGCCGTTTTGCCTTTAAGTAGTTTGATTGTTTCTTTCTGGGTCTACTTTTGCTTCGACTGCTTGTGGTGCCAGTGCTTCCGGGTGAGTTGCTCCTGCTTTTCGCATGCATTTACCTCCTACTCCATACAAGCCTACGAATGATTTCTAGATGAGTTGCTGCTGGTTCTACCTGGCTAGTCAGCAAGAAGCAGTTGATGTACTAGCGGTTCTTGCGATTGAACCGATCTCTAAACTTTTGGGACAAGCGAGCCCTGAAAATGTTCAGTTGTTGGAATACCTTCCAACATGGTTGGCGGTTACATACACTTCCATTTCCACCAAATGGTGCACAATGGTCCATATTGCCGTATACCCATATTGCTCAGATGGGGCTGGCTTCATTTGAAAGCATTTTTGGGACTGCTTTGCAAGGGTGGCCAGAGGGTGTACCCATCAAGAGTTTTGTCCGTTTGCAGTTGCGCATTGCGTTGATGCACAGAGGTCCCCAGTCATTTGCCTCATGAAATCTGGGGCTAGGTGGCGAATCAGCTGTCGAATGAGTGATGCTTTGTACATTTGCAGGGGACGGCGTAGGTTTTGCTGGTCCTGCGCTGTGAATCACATTTGGGACATGACAACATATATATATATACATACATATATATATATATATGTATGCGTGTATAATGTTACTGCGGGACGCATACATGCAGCGTAAATGTACATGTACATGGTGATGTGTGCATATGTACTGTACACAAACATTTGCTTGTACCATTTTGATACGAGCCGATGCTTCGGCATCCCGAGATTTGCGCACCGAGGTGATTCCTCGAAGCGGCTCGCAGGGCCGAGGCCGGCGCCTGAATTGGGCGAGAGAAGGACTCATGGCTGGTCGGATCTCTGTTTTTTGTTTTTTCCTTCTTCTTTTTTTTTCTTTCTTTTTGTCTATCGTGATATCCCTCTAATCGGTTTCCCTCTCAATACGACTATAGTCCCCTTCTATGGACCTCGAAGTGGTTCCCCTCCAAAAACTTTTTGCCCCCGGGCCCCTTTTTGTGGACCTCTTGGACACACAAACCTCGGCTTTTTTTTGCCCACCCGGGTGGACCAACCCCGTCCCCGGGTTTTTTGGTTGGGTCTCAAGTCTTGAGACCGAAGATCCCATCCATTTGGGTGTGAAACCTTCGGTCGTTCGCGCATTCTCTGAGGCAATGCCTCCCTGAGTCTTCCGTTTCGAGCTTGAGGCTCTTGGGGTTTAAACAAACAGCTTGGCACTTTTGTCGGCCAGTGTGGCCAGTGTCAGCAAGTGGTAAGGGCGAGTTCTGTGGTTATTCTAACTTGCAGCCAGCTTTTTTTTTCGCTTGACGGGATCAGGATGAACTGGAAAGTACGCGATCGTTTCCAACCCAAAGCTGGCTTACACACCATTCAACAGGGAGGGCTTTTGCAATGCTTGCATTCTCCCTGTTTGTTTGGTCATGCTTTGGACATCCTCAGGCATACATCGTTGCGGATTTAGGCCTTGATAGATGTTCACCGTTCTTCTCGAGTGGCCAGTTTTTGGTTAGGGCTCGCACAAGTGGATGATGGAAGCTTGGATCAAGCCACTACTAAAACGGTGCTCCGCATTGTGACTGTTTGTTTTTGCGAGCAGGGTTCAATATCTACCCTCTTTGGCAGACAAGCCAAAACATTATATAAAATGATTCCAACATGGATTCATGCCCCAAATTCCAGAAATTATGACACATACTCCTACTGAAGCAATCGATAGTAAGAATGAACCGCACATAGCATGTTTGACATGAACGAAGGCCGCACTATCACACTGTTGGTGTCTCATTCATCATCCGAATGAGCAACAGACCCAATGTTGCTATTGAAAGATCCAACCCTCCAACCCTCCAACCCTCCCAGGACTCGGGAAGTACCCCCGCCCCCAGGACAATTGGTTTCCTTTCAACCCTCCCTCCAATAGCGCGCCCAAGCCTCGGAAAGTAGAGACCCAAGGGAGGGGCGTTTGCTCAGGCAAATTATGCCCTAGGAAGGTCCCCTTTGCGCGGGCAACGGGTAACCCGGTTACAGATCACGTGGCCACTTGGTTCCCAAGTTATGTGGCCCAAATATTTGCACATCAGCCATATACTCTCACCTTGTAGTACCCACATTTTTGGGGCATCCACCCACTAAAAGCGATAGGGCTCTTCCTTTTTGCTTGCCCGCCACCCCAGCCGCATTTTTTTGGGGTCCAGCCGTGAGTCACATGAGCGCCTTCCTTCCACGCCTCGCCGGGAAAAAGCTCAGTCGGCTGGCTGGGGGGCGGAGGAGGCGAGGACCTGGCCGGCGGGCTGCCCGGAAGCCCTGGTGAGACAGTTCTTTTTGGGTGGTGTTCAGTTCTTTTTGGGTGGTGTTTCAGTCCTTTGAGAAAAGTGGCTTGTGTATTTGCGGTGCCCTATTTTGAGAGTAACCCAAATTCCCACCCTTTTTTCTGCACCTAATAAAGCAAGAACTGGGCGTTCTGTGGTAAATAGGACATCATACTCTAAACAAGTGGGTGTTGGGTGCATTCCTGAAAAGTTGATGGATCTGCCTTTTAAACTACACTCAAGGTGCAAGGCGACGGCCCTTAGGGGGTTTTCCCTGGGGGTACAGAATGACTTAAACCTGGTTTTCCCCAAAGGGTCCACAGCATAGGTGGCCCTTTTAGTTTAGATGGTTTGACATAGATGGCACTGGTTTAGACTGGTCTTCCCTTTACCAGGGCCATGGAGTTTACCAAAAGGACACCTGCGGCGGTTTTTTGTTGCTCCGAAGCCGAAACAGGGCCTTGGAGATGAATCGAGGCTCCTTATTGTTTTCCCGACATTGAGTTGTCTGATGTCTCAGCCATGGGGTCTTAGCCAATGGGTTTTAGGGCGACTCCTTAGCTCTTGAAAGGTGTTGGCCGCAGGGGTTGCTCCATTGGAGGTTGAGACTGCCCGGGCAAATTTTCCCTTTGCTGCCTAGGATGTTCCTGTAGGCCCGCCACTTCCCGGGGGTCACCTTTGTTGGAAAACACACACTTGGAAGTAGGTCTTGTGTTTTGTGTTTTGTTGTTGCAAATGAAGTAGGAGGTCAAAAGGCAAGCACCGCACTTTGCGAGGGTTAGACTCTAGCTGTGGCTTGCTTGGCTCTCGCTTGTCACGCATCTGTGCCAAGTACGTGTAGCTCAGCGGGGTTGGGGTGTGACCCAAAAGGAGCTTCCAGCTTCCCCAAAGGTCAGACTCCGTGGCTGCGGCGGCGGAGGTTGGGGAATCGAATCGGAGGTTCCGAAGTGGTTTTGGGTTCCGAAGCTGACGACGAAGTTAATTTGAGGGTACTTGGGTCTTGTTGGTATCGCGGAAACTGGTACCGGAACATCTCCAAACCCGGCTCCTAAGCACATGGAGGGAAGCAGATGGTTTGTCCCTGCAACACATGTAAAGCACGGAGCTTGGCTACTCCAGACGAGTGGGCAAACTACAACGATGCTTCCAGAGGTTGCGACGTTTATTCATGAAGTTTCTTTTTTTTCGGGATCCTTTAGTTATTCTTGTTTGGTGTAGAATGATTTGCCCAG